TAAAGGTGTAGAGGGAAAAATATAATAGCTGAAATATACACAAATTTGAGTAGAACGCGATACAGAGACAAGAGACCGCGAGTGGATGGGAAAGCATTGATCGCGGGAACTTTTATGTGTATGTGTGAAATGGGAAATGAAATCACCTGGGGTGTAGAAATAAATGAGCACCTGAATAGATATGTAATACTTGTATCTAGTGAGTGTAACACTAGATTTACTTATCGATAAAGGTGAAAAATGAAAACAACTGTGGCACAGCTTCTGAAACGTCTATTTGTTCAATTCACTAAACGCTAAAATTTTATGCATTTTGCGTTGCTTCCATGAATTTACTTCAATTTAAATCATCTTTTTATAATTTATTACCCGGATATAAAAACCCATTTAAAAGAAGCAACGTGATGACGAGAAACAAGTTTTTGGTGATCGAGAAAGAAGATGGGCGATTTCATTTCGGTGTCTAAACAAAGAAATGAGTTTTGTTAAACTTTGTTAAATCACAGTAGTACAATTTATCGGATAATGGGTTCATTAAAGCCCCCGTCATCTATTTTAAGCAATCAAACGCAAACAATTTATATCTTGCTCGGAGTGATCGGCGATTTAGTGGGTCAATTTGATGATTTTCCTTCTCCTTTTGCTTTCTCGCCGGCTCTAAAACAAAAAATGTTTTCATTTCAATAAGAATTTATTAGAACCAATCTATTAGATTGACAACTTGAAATTTGGCTATTGACAATTTGACAACTTTCTCGTATTTCCCATAAAACATATTTAATACGCCAATTGAATTTGAATACGACTTCTCTAAATAAAAGTTATATATTATATATTATCTAATTTCAGAAATGTTTAAGCAAATTTGGGTAATTTTGGAAAAGAATTTGGGCAGAAATTCCAAGTTTTTCTGAAAATTCTTCAAATGGAACTAGAAAAAAAATGATTGATTATATCTAGCTGAAAATTTGGCTATTTATCTAACTTGTTATGCTCTCTCTTTTTTTCATTGACACTAAAATAGGTTTATGTGGAAGAAAGTGCTCAAATCATCGCTCCATTAAGTGTTCATCATTTTTGATTCCTCAACTTCTTGCCCCCTAGAAACCTACAAAACCAAAGCTTTTCTAAATCTGTCCAAAGCTTGTTTTAGAGAATAAATGGGTCTTTTTATTGGTAATAACTGTAGATTAATTGGTGCACCAGTTATTTCTAAAAACTGCAATGAATAAGTGTACCAACTTTCAAGTTGCCAATCTAATAGTTGTAAGAAAACCAACTTTTCCGCAAGTTCACTCATCTTTCCAATCGAGTTGCCAAAGAACGCGTCAAAAGCATCACTACAAGAACCAAGAAGAAAATAGCACTGAACAGAAGTCTCAATAATGCTTTTTTGACTCTTCTCGGGAAAGCGAGTTCTTGAAAAAATGCAAATCTTTTAAATGTAAATCACAGTAGTACATTTATCGGATAATGGGTTCATTAAAGCCCCCGACAGTGACGATGGTGGTAAGTTTTCAATAGATTCGTATTCATCGTAAGATATTCAGCCAACGAGCTGGAACACATTTACTTAATTAGCAAAGAAATAGGCTACTAAATACGCACAATGAAAATTAAATTTGGATTAGTGCATGTTGCGTGCAGTAATCAGAGGTTGGGGGGGTGGGACAAATGCGACCTTTTTTTTGCGCACCTGGACATTTGCGCACCTTTTTTTTTGCTGGAAAAGGCCTTAGGAAAGGCCGTAGAGCTTCGAAAATATTTCGAAAATTTTTCCATATAAGGGAATCGTATGCGTAGATTCAGAATTTCGACAAATCGGACCTCGCTGACACGTCAAATTTGGGCTAAAAGGCAAAAACTGCGGAAAAGCGTTAAGTTGCGTAGTTTTTGCCTTTTAGCCCAAATTTGACGTGACAGCGAGGTCTGATTTGTCGAAATTCGGAATCTACGCATACGATTCCCTTACATGAAAACATTTTTGAAGCTCTACGGCCTTTCCTAAGGTCTTTTCCAGCAAAAAAAGGTGCGCAAATGTCCAGGTGCGCAAAAAAAAGGTCGCATTTGTCCCACCCCCGAGGTTGGGTACTATTAGAGGTACAGTACTATTTTTTTTCGATCTACCCCGAGCCCGCAATACTATTAGAGGCTGCACTATTATTAGAGGTGCCAATACTAATAGAATAAATACGGTATATTCTTGGTCGTGGAATGGGTTGCCAAATCCCATGGCTTAAAAATATTTTTGAGGTAAGCTTAAATGCATGCTTTTGTGCCTATTAGAAAGAGGAATCATTTTCCTCTAAAATCAACCCTCATACAAGCTAATTTGTTTTAAAATAACCATTTCCATTGGTTCAAAAAGTGGTAGTTAAGGTTAAAAACCGGAAAAATTGAACAAAAAAATTGCCAAAGAACGCATCAAAAGCATCACTACAAGAACCAAGAAGAAACTAGCACTGAACAGAAGTCTCAATAATGCTTCTTTGACTCTGATAATGAGGTGCGATTCATTCTTGTTTTGTCCACTAGTCACTGGGGCGAACTTTGCAAAGATGGAAAACTCTCAATTATCTTTGTGGCAAAGCGCAACTTTCAGCGAAGACAGTTTTTCGAAATTACTTGTTCCAAACGTGTTGTTGTACTTGTTTATTAACTTTGTTTAAACGTGACATTGTGAGGTGAACCTGTAAGGATAAAAATTTATATGTGCTGAGAAAATAGAACTTTAAAAACATATAAATCTGACACTTCAAGGAAATGAACACTTTCGATCGCAGCTGATCGAACGCTTTCAGTGTGGTCAAGAACTACCGATAACTTAACGCATTCGAAACTTCTGCAGCGAATAATCGCTGCAACAAAAACTCAGGAACGGACCGCTGCAGCGATTATTCGCTGCAGCGCTAATTGAGCTATTTTCATTCAATTAATGAATGAAATGAATGTTTAATTGACTAATATAGTTTTTGACGCTTTATTCACATTTTAGCGCGCAGAAAGTCGAAAAACGTCATGTTCAACTTCAAAATGCTATTAGTTTTTTCTAAGTGGCCCAATTTTTATGTTTTTGCTACCAAAATGCTCCTAGAGTATAGGTGCATAAAAGTAAGTTGAAGCATTTTTTGTGTCTGCCCACCATCAGCGAGATGTGGCCCTGTAAATCAGGCGAGTCCTGCCGTCTCTGTGTAAAATGATCGTTTTTTTTTGATAAAGGGCGATTTAAAAAAATGTATCAGACGGATTTTGATAATTTTTCACCATGGAATTCAGGACATTTTTCTGCGTCTAATGGATATTTAAACATGAAAAACGGATAGAAAACGCCATTTCGCGCAGATGTGCGCCCCCTTTTAACTTGTGAGTTTTTGCTTCACAAATGATGGGTCGTTTTCTATTATTATTGCATACTTCAATCCAAAAACCTTCCGTTAGCCTTTCACCGCTTCAACTTTTTAAAGCAAAAAGTGAAGTACTCAAAGGAATGAGTCAGTTTTAGCTGTTAAGTTATAAGAATTAGTCGGCTTGGCATCATTTATGGTAACAAAAGACGGGGACGTTTACTACCTTCTATTGTTGAATTACTTGTTTCGATTCACGATGCAAACCTTGACAATGTTGTTGTTAGGTATTTTGATAGTGTTTTATTATTATAGTTTGCTTTTAGGAAGTTTCCTACACCGCTACACGCTATACGCAGAACGACTTTGACATGGGTCGCTTGGAGACGTTCGATCCGATTGGGAAGCCGTGTCTCCTCGATGAAAGCGACGTTGATGGAGATTCGGACGCTGAAACTGTCGCTTAAAATTGTTGTTTCTGTTATTTGTTGAAAATTTTCATTTTCGTTGGGCAGTTTACATTGTTACTTTCTTAAGAATAAATATAAACTTTCTGTATGTGCGTTTGGGCTCTATCTGTTTCTGTTATTTGTTGAAAAATATCAGAAACACTCATTACAAATTGCGTCGATAAATTCGAAGAACGCTTAAAAAAGACAAGATGGACAAGGGGGACACTGAGGAGCTGTACTCTGAAAGTATATTTTATAGTATAATTCTACGGCCTACCAAATTAAAGGTATTCAGTTTAACAAAAGAACATTTTTGACTGGTGGTTTGGCTTATTTAAAGTTGGTACTGTGATCAACTTTTAATTCGCTTTTTTTGCGATGATCAAGATCACTATTCCTATCTTCATCCCTATTTAGCGGCAAATTTGAATACTTTCAAACGTTTTGGGATAGAGTATTTGTAGTTAGAGGTCTCAAAGAGTTAGAAAAGTACAAACACCATAAAGTTGTTACAATTTTTTAGAAATAGACAATTAAACGAAAACATTATACTTTAGACACCATAAAAACCTTCTGGCAAACCAATTTTACGAGAGCTATTGGTCAAGTAGCACAGAATTTTCCTATGCACAGTCATTTCGCGGAACTTTTCCCTTCTCGGTTCAGCGCTACCCTTTACTGTCTCTATAACTCTCTACATCTTTATTCATTGTTCTCCATAGTTGCAGGATGATTCGTTGAAAATCTTTCATTTTAGTATGTGAAAATGGGTACCAAGTGTTGCTTCATCGTCTTCTGCATCTTCTTGTCGATCTGTGCAGCCGAAAATGGGAAATCGGTGAGCTTTTGTTTGAGAGGTATGATTTATAGATCATTTTAGTTTAACTGTTCTACGGAAAATGATAGTTGGATGTGTGCGAGTCAGTGCCACACGAAGTCCGATACCGAAACTGCGCCTCAATGTGTTACACCATTAGGTAAATATCTGCAATCTTTTTTTATAACATTTGGAGAGTCTAGATTTTACAAATAAGATTTACTCTTCAATGTAAACTTGATCGTTTAGGAATCACGTGTTATGGTGCTCCGATCACATACGATTTTCATTTTACAAGTCCTCCGTTGGAAAACTTCGAAAATCCGTTGATGAAACTCTTCCCATCGTGCTACCGTCAACTTCTGCCCTTAATCTGTGCAGCAAGCTATGTTCCATGCAAGAATACGAAAGTACAAACAGGTTTGTTGCATTGATTTACGAAACATCGAAGGCTTCAAGTTTTTTGTATTGCTTTTGCACTTATCACGCGTTTTTCAGAATCTGGTGAGGCCGGTGCAACGTTCACCTATCGAACGCCAATCAAGAAGTGTACGTCAATGATGGATGCCTGCAAAGAGCTTTTCGTTATTCAACCATCATTGAAAAAGCTTTTGCCTTTCAGCTGCGATGAGAAGAACGACACCTTTTCGGCTACTTGTCAGGTATAGTACTGTGATGATTTTTTACGTTTGGTTTTAGATAACACCGCCATTTCTTCCCACTTTTGAGTCAAAAACCTGTCCATGGCCACTTGTGCATAGAGGAAAGACTCCATCTAATCAGTTCTCAAACAAGATTTTCGACGAGTGTTACTCGCCTTGCAGGTTTTCTAGAGTATGGCAGTACAAATTATAAAATATACATTCTAGATTGCCTTCTCTCCAGTTGCAGTGGTATGAGCACTCAAAGTTTGCATTTTCATTAATTTCTTTGGTGGTCCTGGTGCTTTTATTGGTGAGTTTTATATATTTATTGCTTATTTTAACTGAAATATTTTAGGTATCTGCGTTTTTCAAGAGCGATGTTCTGAAAAGGAGTATTTCGGCTCGGTTTTTCGTGATTGGTGGAGTTTTACCGGCTGTGATTTACATGGCGATATGGATGGTCTCCTCAGCGGAGTTTTCATTCAATGATGTCACATGCTCCTTGGAAGGCACGAGACTATTTCCAACAGCCAGCCCCCTAAGTTTTGGGTGGGTATTTGTTACATTTTTGGTTTCAACCATATTGAGTTGGTTTAGTGTTTGTTCCTGGCTGCAAAAGCTGATGTCAACTTGTTCGATCGTATGTAACATAACCCCACTTCTATCGATCTCGTTTTCGATGGCAAACCGTTTGCAAACGAGATTCGTTGTTTCGTTGATTAGAAAGTTGGTTTGCTTTCAAGTTACACTAATTAGAAAGTCTCCAGTATCGAAGTGGTTGAACATTTTGTGTGGGTCGCCTTGTTGGCTTACGGTTCGTCACTGCCTTTTGTGTTGACGAACAGTCTTGGGGTTTGTGAATTTCTATTTTAATATCTATCCTCTTGATTTTAGGTCGAGCGTGACGAATTTTCGGGTGTTTGCCTTGCCGGTAACTTATCAACAATATCGATGGGTACAAACTTTGGAGTGTCAATCTTTTTTGTGCTACTCGTCTTCGGCCAAACAGTTATTAGAACATGGGCTAGTCGTCGTAAGTTTTTTAATCAAATAGCGCATCGATTGCGGTGAAGATTACATTTGTAAAATGCCTATATTTAGGAGATTCGTCTAACGAAAATGTTGCTTTTGTTGAGCTCTTGGAAGCCGATAAAGTTAAAGTCAATGGTAACTGTTATAGAGTAGCGAGTTTATCTAATTTCTAGAAGCTGAACGATTGAGTGGAGCTGACCCATCTTCGAAATCCAAACCAAGAAGACCTTCAGGCGCATTTCTGCACAAAAATCTTCTCTACAGCAACTTGTCAATTGGTAAGCGTCAGTTTTCGATTTTTATGGATTTTCGGTTTAGTGGCAATCCTCTTCTGTTATGCTCTTTGGATAGCCGCAATTGGATTACATTCGATAGTTGTTGCTGGTTGGCCTAGTCGAGAAAAAGAAACGATTTTCTCCGACTTGAAGTAAATATAGTGTGGAGAGATTTTTTTAAAATCGTTTTTTTAGATGTTTGTTCAATTTGAGTTCTGATGCACAAAACGATGAAGCTTCTCGGCTCGAGGACCACAGGTGAGATTGTTACAATGTACTAAATTCGTTGTGACTTTAGACAGGACAATAGCCAGCATGAATGTAGTTCGAGTGCTCTTGGATACCGCCCAACTTACTCATTTCTGGTCTTCGTTGTACTACCGATTATTCCGTTCCTTTTTGTGGCTATTATTGATGCTTTGCCATCAATTTGGAATTCATCATTTGGCATGGGGTTTTGCCCATTTTAAAAACGATTTACGAATTAGTTTTAGTATGTGGGCACGAAGAAAGCTTCAAATTATGACGACTCTAACCGAATCAAATTCACAGCCAACCTCGAAAAATAGAGATACAGTGGAGTCGTCGTAAGTCTAGCTTCTTTAGCACGGAAAATTGTTTCTCGATTTAGAAGGAGTTGTGGCTCAAATTCAACACAGCCAGTTCGAAGAGGAAACCGGACATCACGCCTCTATCAAGTCAGTTTTACAGAAACCTGTCCTTACTGAATTTATAATTAGGCTCAGCGTGAAGTCGCTACCAAACCTGTGAGTGCACCACCAACAGATAGAACGCTGGAAGAAGTGCAAAGATTGGCACAAATCTTTTCAATGGTTAAAAAATTATTAGATTTCCCCTCTAGTTTTTAATTTAGGAAGTGCAAGGTCTTGCCCAGGAACGCGCCGAATTACATGAGCTTTCAAGGGTACAGGATCAGACTTTGATGAGTCTTGCACAACAACTTGATCATGCAAATGCCGAAGTAATGGCTTTCAAGTTGCTTATTTACTAGGGACATTTTAGCTTGCCGCACTCCGAGGAGAAGAGCCTCCAATTCCAGTACTAAGAGGACAAATAGTTGAGGCTGAGGTTCGTCATTTCATGCTCCCCAACACAAATTTTGATGTCTTTAGCCGCAAATTAGACTGGCAACTCATGATGAACGAGCGTTAACGCGATTTCAAGGATTTGGTACAGCTCAACCTGTAGAAGCGCCTCTTTCAGCACGACTTCCAGCACCACAAGCTCATTTTTTACCCGAGGTTAGGATTTTTGGTCAAACACACCTAAAGCTTTTTAGATGCAACCATCAACTTCGAATCCATTTGGTTCATTCCAGGGTTTCAGACCAATGCAATTTTCTGGCCAGGTAAAATTGTGGTTTCTTAAAAATTTTAATCTAACTCTTTTAGTCAACTAGCCAGCAACCACGAGAACTCAGTGATGAAAGCGATGTAAGTAAATCTAACGTTCATTTAATAATCTTTTATTTAGGAAAGTGTGCCCAGTCATGAAGATGTGCAAACGCTGGACGAGTTGCGCCAAAGAGCAAATGGAAATTTGGAAGAGCCAAGAGAAGTAAGAATTTTTGCTTTTTACTAAAAATCATTTGTTTTTCAGAGGATTCATGATGTGCAAGGGCCCAGTGGTAATCGATTCCAATTTAACGTGCCAGTGCTTGCTCCACCGCCATTCCCACAACTAATCCCTCCACCACCACCGGTTTGTTTTTACTAATGCGACAAAACATGGCTACCACCCTAGAATTTACAACTGTAAGGATTTTGAATTCAGAATCGACCTGATCCTTATGGGGTGTTATATCCGATGTCTTCTGTGATGACGGTGCCCGAGATTCAACTTCGAGCTCAAGTTCTTCAGCAGGTCCTGCAGACGGATCCAAATATTCCAGTCTATCCTTATCAGGCAAGGATTTTTATTCCATTCACCTTCAAATGAATTTAGGTTGCCGTCGTTTTGGAAAGAGCCGGCGTTTTGAATCGAGTTGATGCGCAGCGGCCACTTCGACCGAATCATGTGATCTACCGGCCTGATAGGATTGAAGAGATGCTTGGAACTACACCAAACGTGCCTCCAAATCTTCGCAATCCGTTAGTTTTATGTGACTTTTTCTTAGATATAGCCTTTTCAGAGCCACTTTTCACGAGCACATTGGTCGATTGGCTTTTCAACAAGGTCTCACGTTGGCCGTCATTTATCGAGATGCAGCCGGTCCACCACGGTAACTATGGAATATTTTTTCAAATTAAAGAAATTTAGAAACTTGCCGGGCATCCTTGAACGGATTAATATTGCCGAGATTGTGCCGGCTGAGCTGCGAGAGTTGATCCGACAAGTAAGCCTTTGATTCATGAAATCTTTCTTACATTGACTTTTAGGGAAATTTGAATGCAATCAACGAAGCTAGACAGATCATTGAGCAGTCAGAGCATGCTATTCGATTGTGAGTTGATTAAATTTTAATTTTTCGCATTGATATTTATAATATACAAAAAGTCACTTCGAGTCAAATTTGCAAAAAATATTTCTGGTAGCTCAAGGTAGTGTGTATGGTGCGAAAATGATTTTTTTAGGAATGAAAAAAGAAAATGAAATTTTGTTTTTTTTTTGATGGTTTTTACCATATCATTACCCTCCATACAAGAAATTTCTGAGCCAGCATGGTCACCACCCCCTGAGACTTTTGCCATAAAATTAAAACTTTGTACTGGCATTTTGGTGTCATATTAGGGTTAATATATAAACTAAGATTTTTAACCAAACACTTTATGAATCTACCTTATATAATTATCGATCGTACATAAGAGATTTTCAATCCACCTTTTTTAAAGAAGTGTCCCGTTTTTCCAAGGAGACGCTGATCAATAAATTGCATGGTTTAAATTTGTAGGTTTCCTAATAGTGTTTATTATAAAGCACGATGTCATTACAGAGTTTTAGTTTTATGGTAAAAGTCTCATGGTGTTGGTGACCATGGTGGCTCAGAAATTTCTTGTGTTGGAACTTGGATATCGTGAAAACCACGAAAAAAAATCAAAATTTCCCGACCTCAAAAAATCATTTTTGCACCATGCCTACCACTTGAAATATTTGAAAAGTTTGACCCGAAGTGGTTTTTTGGGACATCCTGGATCTATTATTTACCCAAACTATGATTCGAGCTATTCGATTGTGCGTTAATTAAATTTTAATTAACGTGGTGGTTAGTTGCAATATATGTATTATTTTTAATACTATTTACCCGAACTATAATTAAATTTTTCAGGAACATGGAGGATCGAGTGCTTCAGGCCTTCCTTTATGTACGAGACTTCCTTGATTCACGGGCAACAATTGCGGGACTTCTACCGGCAAATCAGAATCCAGCGGAAAACGATAATGTAAGTTGATTTTTCTTCTGTATGATGCTCGATGCTCAACGTGTTTTAGGCTCAACAACCGCATGACCCCGATTCGGCCAATGAAACTTCGTAAGATGTAATCAAATTTGCATAGGCTCTTAGAATTTGGGTGAACAATCTGGTCATTTTGGTGATAATTTATCTAAATGAAGTGCTATTTCTTTCATTGACATTTAATCTCTATTACTACGAGTGTTTTGTTTTCTTGATCTCACTTTACTTTGTTCCATTGCCGATGTTTCAAGTTGAATAATTTGTTTCGAAATAAAAGATTTATTAATTAGGTAACTGAAATACAGTGAAATGTTTTGTGCTAGAGTTGTGACATATGCAAAATAAGTGTGAGCTGGCCTTAGAAACATTAGAAAGCTAGAGTATCATCAAAATTAGTGAGTCAAGGAATGTAACACAATAGAAACAAATATATGTAAAGGAATTAGAGAATAACCCCGAAATACTTTGTGATAAGTGAAAAGCCACATGAAAAATGCACATTGAACTACACGAATTTCTTAATCGTCCGCAAATCCGATCTCGCCGGCTCCGACCTCGAACTAAACTACCATAATCTTAGCTCAATTCTTATTCAATTATACAGTAACTAGAAAGTTTCATATCTTTCCACTAACCTCTCTTTTTGTGTATCGCTTTTGGGTAATTGTGAGGGTACTTGTGCCAGTCTCGCGATCGAACGATTCATCCTTTTCCATGATGCTTTCATTAGTCAAAAAGCGATCATTCGTCTGATTCCCAGTCTCATTTATCGATGATAACGGCTAAAATATCTTGATCTCCATCTCCATCTCTTCCCTCACCGATCCCATTTGTAGCCGTGTCATGAGTGCATCAGCTGCAGCTCTCTCTTGATCGAGACTCTTCAAACGGGCGGCTCTCCATTCGCTTCGTTTCTGCTGCTCGCGAATTGCACGCTCAGCCTGAACATTGTAATTATTCCAATTTCTGGCAATATTCTTGAATTTTCAAAAGTTTAAAGCGTTTGTCGTCTAAAAATCACCTCCGAAAGGCCTTCATCGGAGTCGATTTGTCCTGCGGCGATCGCTCGACTCTCGGCTCGCTTCGACCGAATTGGGATCATCGATTTCCCATTTGTTCCATTTGAGCCGCTTTGATTCGGAGACCTTGAACTGTTCTGTTTTTAAAGATCTTCACTCACACTTACATATAAGAGTTATCAATGAGTTGATCAAAGAAGACATCTTTCTCGGGACTCTCAATCGAAGCCAGTGCCGGGTGTCCTTGTTGAATTTTCTTCGCCTCTTCTTCTTTCAATTTCTTCATGTCCGCCTCGGAGAGAAGGGGCTTTTTCTCTGAAAATCGAAATTAGAATTTAGGTTTTAAATATAGTGGACTTTTGAAAGTACAAACCAGGTGGTGGTAGTGTTGCTCCATTCGTGTTCCTGTCGGGTCGTTTAATCTCGATTTCTCGCTCGAACTTCTGGATTTTTGATGAGAAATTGAGGCGTTCTGGCGAGGACTCATTGCCGGTTTTTGTGCTTCGAATGTTGTCAAGCTAGATTATGGATTTGAAAAGCAAAAAAAAAATTATTGCAAATACCTGTGACATTTTAAGAGTCGGTTTTGGGGCGACCGGCGGTGGAATTTTTGAGGCCTGTTTCTAAAGTTTATTATATATTCTATATTCTTGTGAGTACTGAACTAACAAGAAAATTAATCTTATTAGATTCTTCAAGAAATTCATTGCCTCACCGTATTAACTATAGATGTTGGCAGGGGAGAGCTTGTGGCCAGCGGTGCCTCACTAAGCACAGAAGAGTTCGGCGATTGGAAGAGGTGGGTGATTGGTTGTGGAATGTGAGAAGTGATTGATTGATGAGAATGAGAAGGAATTGGAGAAGGACTTCTCCGGATATCAACTGGAATCGCTTCCATTGAGTTCTCATCGTTGTTCGGTGATGTGGCCTAAAGTTAGAGTTAGAATGGCAGAATTTTAGTGTTCTTTGACGAGTAAAGGATTTCTTAAAACGTGTGTTTTCAAAAGCTATTGTTGGCTTCAAAAAGCGATGAATCACAAAAAATCGGTGAGTTAACTGTGAAGTTTTACCCGTCAAAGCCTTCTTTCCCTAATCTTTTTCGTTTTCTGAAAAATTTGCAAATAAATCTTGAGCGGGAATCGAACCCTCGACCTCGTGCCTTTTGAGGAAAAAGCTCTAGCGACTTATCCAAAGGTGCTTCTTTTTCATCAGCAAAAAGATGGTAGAAAAGAGAAAGCGAAAGAGTATCGCTGATTTTTTGGAGAAAGAAGGCTTTGACGGGTAAAACTTCACAGTCAACTCACCAATTTTTCAAAGTTAACGTTTTAGAAGATGGCTCAAAGGTTCACCTTTTCAATGAATTCAATTCAAAATTAGAGTACAAAAGCAAGCAAATTAGGGGTTAAACAGAAAGCTATTTGTAGTGTAAAATAGAAAAATGATCACCAGTACACTGTAACTGGGAAAATCATTTTCTATTAGCACTAACATTTAATGTTTATCCTCGAATCGATTAGAGGAAAGGCTGGACCCAATCCACGCTGTAGTAGAAAGAAAAATCGGAGAGGTGTTAGAAATCAATGAGTTTTTTTTTTGAAACCATAAAACTTTAAATCAAAGATATTTCGATATAAATCTTATATCTAGATCTAAAATTTTAATAGTAAAATCAAAAAAACTCGTGCCGAATTCTGAAAACAAGCCATTAGCGGAACAGAAAAAAAAAATGAGGCGTGCGTTGGGATTGATTTTTTTTTTGGGAAATACAAAACACCACACACCATTGAAAACAGAGAAATTTGGTGAGGAAACGTAAAAGTGGGGTTTTTTTCTCTATCCAAAAACTGACCTGTTCTTGTTTTTATTAATTTTTTTCTATCCGCTAATAACTCACACACATACCACCAATTTATCTTCTATGTACAGTGTGAATCTCTTCAAGAAAATGTCTTTATAAACAAAATATATAAAAATATCACAATCGGCTTCGATAGGGTTCAGCTGGGGAAAAAATATCACAAAAATGGTGGATGAGAGAGAGAGGAAAATCAATGTTTTTGTTGAAGGATTGCCGAGAAATCGAGTAGGCTTAGATTTTGAAAGGTTCGGTCTTTTTTTGGTGTTCTTAAAACAGTTACATGAAGTTTGATTTAGGTAAGATAGCGTTTAAGGAGCATCATAAAAAAAAGCCGATAATCTATCTATTATCTTTAGTCCTTTTCCTTTGCAAAATCTCCTTTCTATAAACTTTAAGCTTCTCTTCTAGATTTGAACTCATAAAGCATCAATCCTTTCACAAATTCTGAGATTTTAAAAGTGAATAGATGTGTTTTCTTTTCGAGAAAGATAGTAATGAAAAGCACCCGAGGAACAAATCTTGTTCTTAAACACAAATTCTCACACTAAACGATAAAGCATAAGGCACACACACACACAAAAATCGAAAAATTGAGGAAATATTGGAAATATTGGAAACAATTTGAAAAACACCTAGCAAGACTTTGTTTAATGGATTAGGGTCGTCATCGAGCTTACCCTTTTCGTTGTGGTGGTTGAGGGGCGATTGTATCCATCGCACACTAACATCTTTAGCTCAAGTGATCGTCTTAAGGCGGATGCGGCTTCTTCTTGAGTGCAACCGAGGAGACTCTCACCGTTTACCTGAAAGATTTGCGTTGTTGAAACATGATTCGAAATCGTTGATGATTCACTAGTAAACTTGACTTCTTGACCTAATATAAAGCTCAATAGTGATGATTGTATAGTCGGACCAGATCAAAGTGTGCATGATTGGATAGTCAACTTTTTACTAGACAAAGGCAAGCACTTGCTGTGGTCTTTTGGAACGAGATCAAACCCATCTTATAGAATCGACCACACTGAGTTCAAATCTGTTTTTAGTTTTTGCCCTTGAGGCCTGTAAGGCAAGATATCCGGCTTACAAGTTTTGCTTGCATTTTTGATCTCTATTTGACACCAACATGACCCACAACCGATCGGACTCAAAGAGATAACAACTGTGCCTCAAAATATGGCTTCGTGGACGAGGGGATAGTGCTCTCGGTTCTTACGAGATTTTTTGCCCGGGTTCGATTCCCTCAAGTCAAACTTTTTGGCTTTTCCTTTTTATAAAATCTTTTTCATAATTAAAAACAACTATGGCATTTTATTTCGTTATTTATTTGCCTGATTCACTTTAGCTTAATCCTGATGATTGCCTTTACTTGAAACTAGCCAACTAGATAGCTTTCCATTTACCTCAATGATTCGATGTCCGGCAATGAGCCCGGCTGCCTCGGAGACACCGCCTGCCTCGACTCGATCAATGAAAATCCCCTCATCTGATGGATCCAATGGATTAGCTGGGGTGCTTTTCACTCCGCCATGAATCGAGATTCCCAGTGTTCCGCCATCCCGACGGAGAATCGTTACCTGAATGGAATTTTCAGGGTTTTAAGGCCTAGAAAGGGAAGTTTACAGTATCTTCAATTTTAACAAGTTTTAAAGCCTAATGCTTTTATAGCTAAGCTTAGAATGAAATATCTGTATTCATTAACAAGACAGAATTTTTGTTACCTCTTTGAGTCCGACTGGTTGCGGGTCATGTTGAACACGGAGACGGACTTTCGATTGACTGTTTTTGAGTGCTTCAACCGCGTCAATGTGTCTAGCCGAGCGAACGTCTCTGCCGTTTACCTGAACGTGTAAATTTTGGCTTAGAAACTCCGAACTAGTATAGCTAGGCCATATCTTGTCTGATTAGCAACTACTTTATTCATTACCTCTAGAATTCGATCCCCGATCCTCAGCCGTGCACACCTTGATGCCGGGGAGTTGACAGCGATTTTCGAGATGAATACACCGGGAGTTGTGATACCAAAAGGATGAGATGAATGATCCGATCCACCAACAACGGAAAGACCCAACGATTTATCATCCTTCAGCAACTCCACCTGAAAATTTATGAGATGCTAAGTTTAAAAACTTTTACAGATCAGCTAGGCTATTCTTAACAAAGATAGGAACTACTCAGGATACTACTTTTGAATAGATATTCTATCGAGTTCACGTTCTATCGCTTGATAGTTTGAGCAGGGTTTTGCCTGAAAGGATTTGAGAACAAAAATTTTAACAATGTTCTTACTTCTTCTTGCGATCCATCCCATGAGGTTGTATCTCCTAACAAATTCAGCGGGGCACTTCTCGACGGAGCTCTGACAAGGCCAGGTGGATTGGATGGGCTCTGTGTTGGGGTGGAGATTGATGGAGGTAGAGGAGAGGTTAACGAGGGACGCTCGCGTTGAACAACAAGGTACACCTAAAGAAACGAATTGTTTATGTGTTTATAACGTTTATATCTTACTATGATTTGTACTGTATTGCTAACCTCATTATCAGCGTGTCCAGTGAGAAGTGCGACAGCTTGATCGTGACGAGCTCCTCTCAACGAAGTGCCATTGATTGATAGGACACGATCGCCGACCTAAACATTGAGGTCTTGCTATTAGAAAACTCTCATATCTAAATTCACTCTTTTAAAGTAAATCTATTGGTATGAGTTGTATTGAACGTAGAGCCTTACTTGAATTTTCCCATCCTTAGCAGCGGCTCCACCGGGTGTAATTTGTGAGATAAAGAATCCGTCTCTGCCAGCGCCAGTGCCACCAGCGATCGTGAATCCCGGAGATCCGGTGGTGTCTCGCTAAAGACAAAGTTTTCATTTACAATTTTTAGTTTTCTTTTGTTTAATACTCAAAAAAACAATTCAAATTGTTAGATTTACTATATAAAAAAGACAGCATGGCTTAAACAGCAACTTTTTCACTTAAAGTCGCCGTTTTTCTGGTGTAAAACATGAATTTTGGTTGTTAAAGTGGATGAAAGTCCTCTAAAACAAACCTTAATCGTCGTGGACATTGTCTCTCTTGACATCGACGAGATCTCATTCGCGTCTGACATGAAAGACGCATCAAGAGATTGACTTTGATTCGGTGATTGCTAAAAGAAAGAGTTTATAAAAAAGTCATTAAATCAATCGTTTGTTAGTTTAGCATTTAGTACCTTAATCCATGATTATTTCTTTATGCTTTTGCTTAGCTGAAGCTGAAAATGAGAAGGACACGACGTTGAAAGAAATCCAGAAAATCGGTGCCAATGAAATTTGGGGTTTGGTGGTGAAAAGGGGGAAACATTGAAGCTTTTAGAGCTTGAGAGAAGGTGGGAAGTTTTGCAGAGTTTGAATTTTCGAGCTTACTGGATAAATTATAATATCTAGCCTATCTATCGTCAACTAAAATTTGCATAAATATGCCTAGAACTTAAGCCATGACCAAAACTAGGTTCTTAGGTTACTTTAAACTTTTTAAATCAAAGAATTGGTTCAAAAGTTGAGCTTAATACACTTGTTCAACACTTATTGAAAAGCTTATGGACTAGTTTAACGGCAAAACTTCCCACCATCTTTCGAGTGTTCAACATGGATTTCAAAGCTTACCCTCACCGAGTTGACCGTCGTCTCCTCTGTCCTCAATATTGTCAACTCTAGCCTTGTTTGACTGTCCTTCATCTTTTGCACAGCCACATCGTGCCTCACATTCACCACATCGGTCTCGTTTACCCTCAAAAGTTTGTCCCCTTGTCTCAGCCCGGCTCGATCAGCCGGTCCACCCGGGGTGACGCGAGAAATGAAAAGTCCTTGATCGCCTTCTTTATATGGAGTTGATTCAGCACCGCCGGCTATTGATAAACCGAGACTTCCGCTTTCGTCACGGTGAATAATTAGTTGAACGATTTGTGTTTCGGGGAGTCCACGAAGCGAGGATGAAGAGCGATTCATCTGAAAATAGCAAGCGTGATTTGGGGATAAGCTGGTGGACGTTGAAGCTGGGGTTGGGTGAGGATTGGGAGAGTTTCTATGTAGCTACAACTATTCAACTGAGAACTGAGGTCATTTAAAAGCAAAGTATCAGGCTGAAAAGTTGTGAACTGTGAAAATACCTGTCCAGGGGTGCTCTAGAACCTGTAAGCCAGGTCGAATCAAGCCAGATTATCAAGCTTGACCTGCCTGGGTCTGAAATTTAGTTTCTGAACACTCCTGGACCTGTCAGTTCTGTAAAACTAACTAAAATAGCAAGTTTTGAGTAAAATATCTGACACTAACTATTTCATTCAGTTTTAGCTCTCCAATCCTCACCCAATCCCATTTCTAATTCATGATAAGAGAATTATTTGCTCTAACAACACACTACTAAAGCAATCGAAAGCAACAATGAAGGCGAATAACGCACAAGGACACCATTTAGACTACACAAGACATTCGACGAGACAATTGATTTCAATTTGAGTTAAGATTTTTGAAGTTTTTGAAAGTTTCGAGCTAAAAAGAGCTAAAAGAAAGACCCAAACAGCTGACTCATTGCATTTTGAGTCTGGAAAAGAGATTTTTCGGGGTTTTTTTTGAAAGACAATAGCTTTTGGTGGACCAATTTTGAAAGTTGAAAGGAAAATGGTAAAAAGAAGTGTTCACTCAGGAAGTTTGGCGACTAAAATCTTCAGAAAAGATTTGGAATACAAATTTTTCGTTTTTACAACGTTTTACAAGATTACAACTGTTCAATTGATTACGATAAAACTTGAAAATAGTCAACAAAATAGATCACATTCAAACTAGAATTTGCCAAGTCATATTTGTTACAGCTATAGCTTTGTTTCGAGGCGGTTTCGGAGAGAAAGAGAGCAGAAAAATGTCGGTAAACAAGAGCTAAAAGAAATTTTTCTTTCTATTTCATTTCTGTTTACTTACAAGATGTTTCTAAGAAAATCCCAACTAGTAAAGCTTTTTGGTGAAGAAGAAGAAAAAGATGACATGCTTAACAGTGGCAAAAACAAGCCCGAAGATCTTGGATCTTGGAGTTGGAAGTGAAAAGTCAGCTATAGCAGTCACAAAATCAAATCTTTCCTTTGTAACTAAATTTCGAGTTAATTCAAAATAGTCTAGCGATTTTAGGAATATTTTTTGGGTAAACTATGAAAATATGATATCTATTTATATTCACCAATCAGTCAACTATTATACTTGACTTTTTTTTTGAGATGAATGGGTTAAATGATACTAAATCCCATATCTAAAACAACACAAAACGTAACCTTCAATCAACCATTGTATTCAATACTAAACCTTGTTTAAATGTGTCTGAACGATTCATATTTTAAAATAACACAAGTGTGTCATTATAGATTAACTGGTGAGCTTCTAACTGAATCTAATACTAGGGAAAGCGCTTAAAAATTTACTAGTGAAAGGCACGAACTCAAGGTGGGTTTTGTCTGGACAAATCCAGCCTTAAAAAGTGCACTTTATAGAATCGGATATGTGGAATCTGAAACTGAAATCGAAATCTTCCAAATGACTTTCCAGGCGTGTTAAACTTCAATCGAAAATTTGGCGTCAGTGTTTGGCGACAATGCTTTAAAGGGCCTCTTCCTAGCAAAGAACAACTACGTTGGTGGCCTAGTAGCTAACGCATTAGACTTCCGCCCACAGGTTCGGTGTTCGGCCCCTGTTGCAACTTTTTGTTTTTGTTTTTTTTGAAGCAACCTCCAGCAGTTCGTACCTTTCCCTAGTTAGACCTGTTCTTGATTTAAAACCTAAAAATCCGACTTGAATTCCCTTACTACCTAGACAGATCGCAATCAATCTAATCATTCAAATGCAGCCTTAAAACCTTGAACAAACATCATTCAACTAAAAATCACCACAAATCATCATTATCAAGATCTCATTCAAGCCGATCATTAGTGTAGCACAAAACGCTTGTCATGTTAGAAAGGCGATAGATAACAACGATAGTTAGTGAAGCGTGAAACTGAGCCACACAAGTACCTCCGATTGAACGGTTGGTGGGAGAGTTGTCGATGGAGATGATAGGGGATGAATGGGACGGGCGCCTGATTTCTGTTTCCCGTAGTGCGGTGTGTTCACGCGTTTCAGTCGAGCCTGTCGGTGCTCTTCTTCCAGCGGTGAAGTAGTGCCCGTGGCAAAAGCCACCGATCTCTCCTACAGTATGCCCGATGAAAATTTGGGTACCCAAGTACTTGGGAATGAAGAAAAGCCTTCATATCGACTCACTATAGAGCTTAAGAAGTCTTGTTTTTTTGATGTACTTTGTGCTCAATGCAAATACACCCTTTCTGACGGACTGAATTCTGTATTTCTTACAAGAAAGCACAGATTTAGTGTGCCAAAAGGAGTGTGTTTACAAATTTGAGTCATATCATGAGCCGATTGTTCCCTGTTAGTACAAGATCCCAATCAAGATCAAGTTTCAAGTGTTATCAAGAGGAATTCTTCCTCATTCTTCACTAACACAATAGAAGACTTAAGCTAACATGCCTAGAAGAACTCAATTTTAAGCTTGAAAACGTTTTCTAGGAAACTGTAGAAGCACGACCTCAAAAAGGAAACAAATAACCCGCGATAGAGGCAGAGAGGAGTTTTCTTCGATTTTCATGGGCAAGACCAGTGTTTTTACAGAAGCTTTTGTTTAATAAACAGATAAATAAACTTACGTAGGTGTTTAGTTGTTGTTGGGAGGAATGAGCACTGCCACTGGCTGTCCCCGAATCGTGATCGGCTGCAGTGATTTGAGTCTCGGGCACGTATTGTTGAACGGGCACTGCTTGAAAGCGGAGGGCTGATCTGAATGAGGAAAATATATATGTGGGTAGGAGATAATTCTACAGTATTCTACAGTAATCAACATTCTACATTCTACAGTAATCAAATATCCCGTATTCTAGTATTCAAGAATAGGGCAAGAAAAGCACTTTAGCAACCAAAAAGAACTTAATTTTTAACTTCAATCCGCTCTTTGATAGTTAAGAGTACAGCAAGCTAAAACTAAAACTGCCATTCTATTTACGGCTTTACAATCAATTCTTTTTCTCTTTTCACTCCGAAGTGGCCTGCTTTTATGGGCACAATTTATGAGGTAGTTTACGGAAAATATAATATCAACCAGGGAAAAGATCTATAGAAAATAATTGAATTATAATTTAAAATAACCTTGGTTGAAGTAGTGAGTTAGACGATGTCCCAGGAATAACCCCGTTCGCTGTTGGAGAAGGTGCTGTGGTGTTGTCGACAGAACGCTTCGGTTGCAAGGCGATATTTGTGGGATGTCCCTGAAATTTGATCATTGAATATTTGATAGACAAGGGTGGAAATTCTGATATTAGCTTTGCCAATTTGTCATTTGCATCCTTACGGCTAAGGGTTTTAGATTTAATAAGTGAAAACCTAGATATCTATTGAAGAACTTGATCAAATTATAACACTAACCTGATGATTCTCATCATGATGTATAATATGCCCGTCAATTGTATTCTTCTTTAGCTTTGCGGCATGGGGTTTTGGATGTGGAGTGCCATGACGTTCAAAGTTGCCCGTCGGAAGTGTCTGAAAATAATCCTGTTTTGAAAGATTTCTAATGTAAAAGCTTTAGTTTTTAATATTTTTACATGCAGTCTCACTACGACTTTCATTTTCTTAATGCTTTGTGCTTAAATAGAAAAGCACTCTTTCTAATGCACTCTTTTCATTCAATGATGACTTAGAATCGTCTAGTTTCAAAATCAGTGCACTAGAAGGTGTTTACAAGTTTGAGCACAAAATACAGCACAATAACAAGTCTACGACGACAACAAGTCATTCAATTCGATCTGGGGAAGCTGGCTATTTAGGTTATTTTAAGGCATGCTTATTTGCAAATAGACGCAAATGATAAAGTTCAATAAAGAAATTGATCAAGATACACGGCTGATCAAGATTCTTGGCTTTTCATTCACGTTTACTGCAATCAGATGATGAAGAAACGAAAATTGATAGGCTAATTAGATTTTTGGGGAATACCAGGGTCTTTTTCGTATCCTTCGATACCATTTGGATGTCCTCTGAAAAAGTTTGTGCAAAGGAAACAAGTGATTAAGTCTGAAGAAGTGTTAGAGTGTTAGAAGAAGTGCTTGAGAACTAGCGAAGGTGTTAGTTTTCTCACACAACACATGCTGATTAGTGGAAAGTGATGAGAAAAACTACTGTGGTTAGTCTTTAAAAGTACTAGTAAGTATACTCTTAATCAAAGTACCATACTTTTTATATAAGAATGGTATTTAAGACTTAGAAATCAAATTTGAATAAGTTAGACATGATCTTGATTAATTTGTTTTTTATAGAAAGCTTTATAGTACTACTTTATAGTAGTAAAAGAATCAAAATACCACTTTTAATCGAAAAATATAATACTTTGATGATAAAAGTTTAACAATTTTTTAAAGATTACCTTTTCCTCGTCAGCTGTATTGTTCATGTCGCCGAAATGCACCTTTGGACCACCAACGAAAGCACGGTTTCCAGGAGAGCGCTCTGTTTCTAAAAGAAAAAATTAAGTTGGATTGTAAAAAATTACTTTAGCAATATTATACATGTTATCACCAATACTAGACGATAAAACAAACCATTTTGTTGTCCAGGCAATTGCGGTAAAAGGTAACAAGTGAGCACTTTCACCCCGGTGCCCGGATCACGCTCTTGTTGAAGTTTAAGCATGGCTTGGGACTAAAAGATAACAAATTAGAAAGAACTTTATTTAAAACTATCATTGCTATTGTGTTGCTTGATAAGTTAAAAATCTAGTTAAACGCTAAAAAAACAAACCTGATTCTCTGACAACCACAACGCTTGCAATTTGAAGAGAACATTGATAGTGAATGGAAGAAATCGAAGCCGATTCGAGCACAAATCTAACACGGTCAACCGTTCGCATTTTCCGATATCCATCGGAAGCTCAGCGATTTGGTTCTCCCGCAGGGAGAGCATTGTTAAAGAGGCACAACCGCCGATCTGAAATGGAATCGATGAGAAATGATTTCTTTAACTGAATACCTTTAAATGGGAATTTAAAGATATTCAGTTAAAGAGCTAAATTTCAAAATCTAGATAAAAGATTGGGTTATAGTAAGACTTTACCGTGCTCGGAACCGCCGTCAAACAGTTTTTGTCCACATTCAACGACTTCAATCGAACGAGATGCCCAATTGATGAGGGTAATTCACTCAGATTGTTCGCTGTTAGCTTAAAAATTTCAATATTGATATTGAATTAATTAGAGGTCGTATTTTTCAATTTAAATACCCACCTGTAACTCTTCCAACGCTGTGCAAGAACCGATCGCTTGAGTCAGTCGGTTTATCGCGTTTTTCTCCGCTTTCAACACGTTCAACTTTTTCAAGCGTCCTGAAATCCTTTTTTTGACAATTAGATAATTTCTGAGCTCACCCAGAGAATTTGGCAAATCTGTTAGGCAATTGTTGGCGACAATCAACTCGGTCAAATTCTCGAGATGGCCGAGATCCTCAGGGAGTGAGGTGAGGCGATTCTCGCTTACATCCAATACATCAAGCGATCGGCATCTAGATTCAAGAATTAGAAAAAGATTACAAGATCCCGAATCAAATCCTGATTCAACCCACCTCGTGATCTCATCCGGCAACAACTCGAGATCATTCTTGTCCACATATAATTCCCGTAGTGAAACCATATTTTCAATGTCTTTTGGCTGAAAAATTTTCATCTTCCAGTTTTTATTTAATTCTTCTCACCAATTGATCTAATTCATTATCACCAAGATCAAGAATTTGTAATTTTGTGAGGTGTTGAAGGGAAGGAAGAGTGCGAAGGAGATTCTCACGGACTTCAAGCTCTCTGGAATAGGAAAAATGGCCTTAAAGCTTCAATAATAGCTTTAATATAAACTAGAACTTCTGTTTTTTTAGATTAAAATTGTTGAAAACGGTTTAATTCGAAATCTGTAAACCTCATTTCTGTTAGTGCACCGATATCACTTGGAAGCACCGTTAACGAGACATCGTTTAATCTCAAACGGGTCAATGTCGAGAGTTGAGTGATTGTAGCGGGTAATCTAAAGAAATTCTTGAATATATTGAACTTCTCGATAATATATTTCTGTATCTTGTACTCAAAATAAAACTAAAACACGAAAATTCTTTACCTGGTGATTGGATTTGCGCTGAGATCCAAGATTTGCAACAATTTACAGTGCTTCAACTCCTCGGGAACATCGGAGATATCTAAATTTTGCATTGTTGGACTATTTTAGATTCTGAAAACCGACCATTCTTTCCTAGATTCAACTCGACGAGACTTGTGAGTTGAGAGATTTCTGGCACCAATCGATAGATCTCATTGTCATTAAGGGAAAGACGACGAAGCTTTTGACAACGGAACAAGAACTGAAATCAAGAAAATTTCAAATGAATTTAAACTTTCTTAACAAAGAAATGGTCTTAGCTCAAAGTTAAAAAAAATTTTCGGCCTCTTTATGGGGCCTCCACAAGGACACCGCTCAACGGGTGCTGTGGTCTAGTGGATAGTGTGCTAGATTGCAAAACTGGTGAAACTCTCTGGCCAAGGGTTCGGATCCTCCCGTGGAGATACTCTTGTTTTTTTGAAACATTTGAAATATTTGTTTCATTCATCATAACTATAGGTTTGTTTTTTAAAAACCCACCTTTGGTAGCTCCTTGATGTGATTACAGTCGAGTAGCAGTTCTTCCAATGAGCGCGAGTATCGATCGATTTCATTGGGGATCACCTGAATGAATAAAATCATTAAAATAAAATAAATGAATATTCAGTCTAAATTCTTAACCATTAACATTCGATTATAGCCATTAAATCTCTTTTAGTAGACATTTTGAGTCTTTTTTGGTCGTAATTACCTCTCCTTTCAGTTCATTTCATGCAAAAATATGTAAATTTTTGGTTCTTACGTTCGGAATAAAGGTAATGAAGGGTCATAAAGCTAATGAAATAGCTTATTGAATAAAAATTCTTGCCAACTCACATGTAAATTGCACTGTCGTCGATCAAATGAGTCAATCTGTCGATTGCATGCCGAGAACGGCATGCAAAAGAACGACATGTTGAGTGGAAAGGGATTGATGAAGATTTGAATAAAATATTATCAGTTTAGAAAATTTCTATAGCTGGAATAGCGTTGATCTTCTTTGAAAAGGCTAAATAGCTAATAGGCTAATAGCCGGATCCTCTCAAACACACTTTCTTCGGACTGGTGTTCTCTAAAATAAATTTGTAAGGGAAAAATGAGTAAGAATATAAAAAACGAATAATATAATAAGATAATAAGATAATAAAATAATAAAATAATAAGAAATATTGTAAGATAATAAGAAAAATGAGGCTAAAGCTTCAAAAAAACTTTCATCAAATAGTTTCTAAGCAAAATTATTTCGAAAATTGTTACAGAGATATGAAAAATTTGGTGAAAAAGGAAAACGAGAAATTACTCACCATTAAATAATCGATATTCGGACAGAGAAAAGAACTGTCTTCAATTTTTGGCGCCTTTCGAGTCACCAAGGAAAACATGGGGGCAATAAATTGTGAGGTTTCTTTGGGAAAGTGAACAACGTGATAAACATTGTTCTTTCTACTTTACTTTTACCAAAAAATTTCTTATTAACACAATTGATTTGGGACAATCTTGTTTCTCATTAGTTTTAGCTAAAAAAAACTAATTAATATTGATAATTTTAAGTCCTCTAGAAGATTCTAACATTTCATTTTTAAAGACTTAAAAAAACTGCTGCGAAATAGATTGAATTTGAAAGTTTTAGTTCAACTGAACCAGCAAGTCCAGCAGTTTTCCCAGCAGCAGCAGTTAAGTCCAGCAGTTTTCCCAGTATCCCAGAAAACATTTAATTCTAAAAAACTAGGCTTATATAAAAAAAATTGATAGATTAAGTGTAAAGTTTCACTAAAATCAATACAAATTTCAAGTAAAGGAAAATTTTTGGCTCAGAAACAAGGTGATAAATCTTGCCCTTGGGGATGACGAGAACGGGAAACAACGAAAAAAGAAAAACTCAATTTTTATGACAAGTGGTTTTTGTGTGTGCTGAAAATCGGGTTATTGAAGAAATTTGAAAAAAGGGAAAGAGATGATGACAATTCAGATTCAGATGATAATTGTTGTTGTTCAATAACTTGAAAAAGTAAACGAATTTGTTAATGGGTAGGGAAATTGGAAAATGGAAATTTCTTATTCAAATAATATAGATTTAGGACAATTAAAGTGATTAAAATCAGAAATTATCTAAACAAAAGCAAATATCTAAGCTAATTGCTAGATCTGCTAATAATTGAATTGATAGCTGATACCGTATTTCTTCGAATAGAAGACCGGGTAAAGAGTATCATCGCGTACTCCTGCGTAGCAGCCCTTTTTAAAATTTCTTTTCTGCATAAAAGCTTTCAATGAAGTGCTATAGGGCTGGAAAATGACTCAAAAATACGACATGAGCTAACAGATTTTTGAGCCATTTTCCAGCTCTATAGCACTTCATTGAAAGCTTTTATGCAGAAAAGAAATTTTAAAAAGGGCTGCTACGCAGGAGTACGCGATGATATTCTTTACCCGGTAGGGAAAATGGAAATTTCGTATTCAAATAATATAGATTTAGGACAATCAAAGTGATTAAGATAAGAAATTATCTAAACAACTATTGCTAATTGCTAGATCTGCTAATAATTGAATCTATTGCTGATATTTGTAATTAAAAAGATCTTTAGAAGAACCAGGATGCTAGTGGAATGTTTAGAACTATGAAAAGTAACAGATTTGGTCGGAAATTGTTTCTAATTGTAGACATTGACTTAAAAGCAGCTGCTCTAAAGTTCTGAGATGGGCTGAGATGGTTTTAAGCTTTGGTAACAATTGTAGATAAAAGGATTTCCTAGTTTTGATCTAAACAAAAAGAATAGAGAAAGAGTGAATCTCAGCAAATCTGAGAAGAAGTTCCAAAGGAATTTGGCGGCTTTGAGTTTGGAGTGAAAAAAAAACTCGTTTCCTTCATTTCCCTCACTTTCTCCTGCATTGAAGGAAAACAAAATGGAAGACAAACTTCCATTAGCATACGAAGATGGAAAGATTTAGATATTTGGAATGGGAGAATCTTTAGCTAGAAGCTGATAAGTGATAGATTTGGAAAAGTGGCCAGTATTCAGAACTAGTCATTGTAAAACTAACGACTTTAAGTACATCTTTGAGCAGTACAGTACATCTTTGCAGTACATCTTTGAGCAGTACAGTACAGTACATCTTTGCAGTACTTCTTTGAGTAGTACAGCACAGTACATCTTTGCAGTACATCTTTGAGCAGTACAGTACAGTACATCTTTGCAGTACTTCTTTGAGTAGTACAGCACAGTACATCTTTGCAGTACATCTTTGAGCAGTACAGTACAGTACATCTTTGCAGTACATCTTTGACAGCATATTAGGCTTGATAAATCTTTGAATACGCTACAGAAACAGATTCTGAAGTGAAGAATTGATCAAGAAACAGTTTGGACAGTAAAAGTTCGATATAAGATGTCAAATTTCAAAGCAACTTTACATCTTCTACAGTTAAACAATCATTGAATCTATAAGAATTGTCATATTCTCGACTTGAAATTCTTTGATTGCACATCAAAGCTTAACTAAAAAGCTGTAAGACTTTTTAAAATCAAAGCATTTCCACATTTCCTTCAATTCGACAATAATAGACTTAAAAAGTAAGGGAAAGAAAGAAGAAAGAAGAAAAACGGCTTGGCACGGATTGAAAGGGTGATGGGGCGTTATCTTTAGATAGAAAAGAGGGAAAAGGGATCGAATGGAATGGGGAAAATGGAGGAGAAAGCCCGCGGGCGTGTGATTTGATCGATTGATCAAACAGTGCACATTGAGGCAAAGGGGAGGGTAGGGGCATAACGGCGACTCCCGGGCAAATACCCCGTCTCTTGCTGAGAGATAGACATCGAAAGGATCAGAGATATTAGAAAATCCATCAAAATCCTTCTCGTCATAAAACACGGCACACCGCCAGATGAATCTTTTCAAAACAAGTTTCTAAATCTTGTACTGTTTATCTTGTAGTTTGTCGCCTTTTATCTTGTAGTTTGTTAAAGCCTTTTCTCTTGTAGTTTGTCTTCAATTCATGGAATGAATCTTGTACCTAATTCATAGAAAACACTATTCTTAGATTAAAATCTGGAATATCTGATCAACAACTTCTTCAGATTGTAAAAGAAACCTATTGTAAAAGTTTCTAAATCTTGTACTGTTAAAAAGCCTTTTCTCTTGTAGCTTTTCTTCAATTCATGGAATAAATCTTGTACCTAATTCATAGAAAACATTATTCCTAGATTTTTCTTTAAAATCTGCGAATATCTGATCAACAACTTCTTCAGATTGTAAAAGAAACCTATTGTAAAAGTTTCTAAATCTTGTACTGTTGCAAAACCTTTTCTCTTGTAGTTTGTCTTCAATTCATGGAATAAATCTTGTACCTAATTCATAGAAAACACTATTCCTAGATTTTTCTTTAAAATCTGCGAATATCTGATCAACAACTCCTTCAGATTGTAAAAGAAACCACTAAAATTTGACCAGAAGTGATAAGCGTACAATAAATTGTTGATAAGTGATAAGCGTTTAATAGATATGTAAATAAACAGTCAATTTAAAAAGAGCAACTCTAGAAGCTTAAAAATTCATAAAAATTGTGAATGGAAAAGGTTTTTAGAGTGGGTGAATGATGGTAAAAAGCGATTGGATTGTACTGACTGAAGTAGAGGTCATCAGATAGGAGAAAGGGAAGTGTGATTGAGAAACGATTCCATTGAGTAAGATGACCGGAATTTAGTTGATAGATTGATAAAAAGTGAAGAATTTTATACTTATTTTATGCTAGAAGATCCAGCTTTAAATAAAGATCGAATATTTTTGGATTCTTTGATGTTTCAAGAGAAATAGGGATCTCCAAAGTTTCAATACTTCAATTCTCGAAAAATCTGATTCTCAGCTTTAAAAGTTGTCAAGTTAATAGCGAAAAGATAGCTTTTTAGCTTTTTGAATGGAATCTAGTGGATTAGATAGAGGGTTTGATTTTGAAATTTTTTTAATATGCCTTCAATATGCGGAATGGCTTCTGGAATGATTTTTGGCGACGCAACGATTTCTAGCGTCAGTCTAGACTAATCAAAGAGTAAATTCTCAAGAAAATACATATAAACAAAAATAGCTTTAGTTTAAAGTTCTAAGAATAGTGTTGTTTGGAAGTTTTTTTCTTCTTAACACGTTGACGACATTGTCACCTGATGCTGTCTGACACATATTCGTTCGCCTGGGACATTGTCACCTGATGTCAGGTGACATTTTTGTCGAAAAAAAACAACGTTGTCCCATGCGATTGTTTGTGTAAAAATGCCATTGTCGTCAACGTGTTAACTTCTAAAATGATGCGAGAGCCACTTGTGATCGCTAATTGGCGTCCAAATCGGGTTCTCTCCCGCCCACCTGAGAATCCCGGAATCTCACAAGAACAATAATAAAAGAAAGACAAAGATTGAACTTGAAATCAAAGATCAAAATCAAATTTACTAATTAAAACTTTAAGAAAATGTTTTATAAGTAAACATTTAAGAGAAAATGATTTGTAAATAAACATTCAATTTTTCGCATAAAACGTTCAGAATTTTAAGTTCAGAATTGAAACTGGTTGTTGCCAAGTCAAAAAAAAAACCAAAAACGATTCCATGAACACCTGAAAAGTTAAAGAAAGAGGCAGAATTCTAAGAAAAAAAAATTCTAAGAACTTTTGAAAACCCGTGAAAAGATAGAAAAGAAAAGAGAAAATGAAAAATTCATTGGGGACAGTGAATGGCCGGTAGAAAGGGGCAAATGGGCGAAAGGAGGGGATCGATTCAGAAAAATTGAAATGCAGAAATTTGGGGATGACCCAGTGGGGGAAAAGTGGAGAAGAGGGCCGAGAAGAGGTTTTTCCCGTATTTGCCTTGGTAAACAAAGCTTTCAACAGACTATAACTGAGAGTATTCAGAAGTTGATCTTTGATATAT